TGTGAGGGACGTGCCTAAAGAGACGCTAACACAAGCAGTCTCTGGACAGCTATCTAGGCACGGGCCTGCAACCTCTGCCATAAGCTCATGTGGGTTGGGAGTGTCCTGTTCGCGCGCGCTCACTTCTCCACATGGCCTTGAAGTAGGGGCAGTTGCGACCCCTACTGGCAGTTGCCTTTTGACTGTTGGGCAGCCCAACGGGCCTGTCTATAAAAAATTAATTACGTGCGCCGGGTCACCACAAAATACGCACTGACCCATGTTCACGCGTTCCTGCCATAATTGTCAGTCCAAGCCCAAGTCTTCCCAGGGCCTGCCCTATGGCAAGCCTGGGTGCCAACCTCCTTGAGGTGCCCTTCCACCTCTTCGTTGTGGGGACCGATTACCCTGGCGATTTGACGGGGGACCTTGACCCCTACCTCCCGCTTGGCGGTTTCCCTGTCCGCCMACCCCCTGTGCGCCCGGTCCTCGGCCTCCCATGGCCTGGCCCCTTTGGCCCTGGCCTCCTCCTCCTCCTCGCGGCCTCCCTCCAGCCACGACAGCAGCGTAAGACCTCCCCTGCCCCACACTACTGCCATCATCTTCAAGGCCCCACTCAATCTGGTCATATGGAACCTCATCGGTACCACCTTCTTCTAATGTCAGGATCATGTGATCCTTGGCCTTTACTTGGCCTGAGATGGTACGATTCTTCCACTTCTTCCCCTTCTCTAAGTCCTTATGCCAGAAAGTGGTAACTGGCATAGACTTCGACTCATACAGGACGACTTCGCGACTCAATTGATCGTATGTGATGCTGGCCTGCTGAGACTTGTCAAAGAAATGCCCACGTAGGGCCTCTGGAATGGCACGATAAAACAACTGAACCAGCTGGGGCTCAGTGACCCCATGGTCCGGGACGGCTACCAAATCGTCCATGGTACCCTTGAGTGCCTTGGCACTCCTCCACTGTCATGAGTGGATCGTTTGAAGCTTATCAGAGGCTCTTATGCCTCTCGTTGGGTTAGCGAAACGCTCCTTGGGAGCCTGAGGAATTGGGAAAGAGGGGTGACTTTAGAATATGCAACCAGGTTGTTTTCACAACCGGCTGTACGCGCGAGAGACCTGGCGAAGCTAGCCGCTTCGTCCTTCAGGGCTTGGAAGGCCACGAGGACTTGCTCCTCCATCAGGATACGCTGTAAATAAATGTAACTATTGACACTGGTCTCCCAGTTGTCAAAGTTCTCGTCCTTTTTCCCCCCGTATGCGTCTGGGAACTTAAGTTTCACTGGGTCCTTACGGGGTCTGGCCTCTCCTTCTACAGCGGCTGCAGCTTTGGCACCCTGAATGGCGCCCTCACAAAACTTCCCTACGTTGTCTCTCAATTGCTTGACTTCACCCCCAATATGGGTGACGATTTCGAGCGCAAAATCCCTGAACCCGGACCGTAGGGCACTTAACGCTACATCCTGGCTCCAGCTTGCCTGGCGCTCCTCCATCCAGGCCTTGCTCAACACCTCTAGATAGCCCAGTACTTTGTCCCACTTGGCCTTATCATCTGGCTGGGCCAGCACCTCCGCTCTACACTCCTGCACCTTTGCCACTGCGGCG